ACCATGTAGGGGAAAATACACGAAATAACATTTGGTCATTCTCATAAGTCTCTGAATTGTCTTTGTACTTTTTAAACAATTTTTTAAAATTAGACACCTATAATCAGTATCACAGAATTCATCACTTAAAAAAATAAACAAAACTATTCATGGGTAAAATTCTTCACTCCCCACTAGACTTTCAGTCCTTCTAGGATTCGAGTCCTATGTCACTACTTTACTGCAGAGTCAAAAGACAACAGAAACAGCTGAACCGGTTTGGCTCAGTGGATGGAGCATCGGCCTGCAGACCGAAGGGTCCCGGGTTCGATTCGGTCAAGGGCATGTACCTTGGTTTCGGGCACATCCCCAGTGGGGGGCGTGCAGGAGGCAGCTGATCGATCTCTCTCATTGATGTTTCTAACTCTCTATCCCTCTCCCTTCTTCTCTGTAAAAAATCAATAAAATATTTTTAAAAAAAGACAACAGAAACAAATATGTCCATCATCTCTAAGAAAAGGAAAGGAAGAAATAACTAAAGCAACTCAGCAATCTGGTGATATTCAAGAAAGTTAAGATTCTATTCCTATTAGCAATTGTGATACCCTAAAACACATCAGATAACAAATATACTGAAGATCACGTCTGGGGAAGTATCCCTTCTAATACTGAGGCAAATTAAGCTGTAACACAGTAACTTCTCAATTTACAAATACATGGTTTCTAGAATCTGAGGTGGATCAACTGTTTCCTAGTAAGTATGCCCTACTTTTTCCAGTCCATAACGTAGACTCACCACCACTTCACCCCTCTACCCCCCGTTTCTAGTCCAGAGGTTATCTTTAATAAGCACCTTTCCCTATAACCAAGCACCTTTTCAATGTCCTACTATGGAGCAGGTTGGTGAAATCCTCCAGAACTGCTGACCACCACACCAAAACACTAATGGAAGGGTGACAAATCAAGCCAAGAAGTAATTTTACCTAAGAAGCCGAGATGGACCTATGAATTCCTACATCTCTCCATCTCACAGTGTGTATTTCCAGCCAGTCATTTCTCCTTAGGGGCGTCACTATATACAGTTCAAGCAACTTTCTTTTCACATGAATAACCAGTATTTTTCAAGTATGGGATTTGTCCAAAGAATGATTTTAGATGTTATTTGATTTCACCAATATGACGTTTTAAGCACCACTCAATCACTTGGCGGTGATTATTTATTATGTCAAGAAAAAAGTGTCCACTGGAGCTTAATAATGTGTTTAATACATCTAACAAGTTCTAACTTTTAGCATAAAGTATGTGACAACAGAGTCTAGTTATTTCTTATAACACCATGTTGTTTTCATTGTATTTATTTTTTCTGGGGCACAAACTTTAAAATTAACTTGAATTTTTAGAAAGTCAGTTGACATAAAGAGAAAAATATTAAACAGGAAACAGGACAAAAATAGTAAAGGGGGCCCAGCTGACGTGGCTCAGTGGTTGAGGGTCGACCTATGAACCAGGAGGTCACAGTTCAATTCCCAGTCAGGGCATATGCCTGGGTTGTGGGCTTGATGCCCAGTGTGGGGCATACAAGAGGCAGCCGATCAATGGTTTTCTCTCATCACTGATCTCTTTCTCTCTCTTCCTCTCTGAAATCAATAAAAATATATTTAAATAAATAGTAAAGGTGTTATTCTGTGTGACTAACATTTGGGAAAAATTTATCTAGAATAAGGTTTCTCAAACTTTTAATGTGTATCAAAATCATAAGAAAGGCTTCTTAAAACAGATTGCTGGCTCCACCCCCAGAATTTCTGTAGGCCTGGGGCAGAATCACTAATTTTGGCTTTTAACAAGTTCCCAGGTGATTCTGGTCTGAGGATCACACATTGACAATCATTGATCTAGAACAAAGCTTTTTCTTAAAGAGCAAGATAGCAAATTATTTTATGCTTGCAGTATGTCTATTGCGACTCAACTCTGCTGTGGTAAGGCAAAGAAGTCACATACATTATGTACACAAATAGGCATGGTTGTATTCCAATAAAACTTTATTTACAAAAGCAGGTGGGCCATAACGCCAGCCTTGATCTAAAACATACCCTCAAGTAAATGAAAAGAGTATATTGTGTAACCTAATAGTTGGACAGAATACAGAAGCAGTTAAACAACTAGATAGACTATAGATAGCATCCAATAAATACCCAGTCTATTTTATTGAAAGGCAAAGCTTTGGAAAGTTTAACTTTGAAAGAGAAGGCAGGTCTGCAGAAAACTGAAGTCTCAGGAAGATAAAAAACAAAACAATTTACCATGTTCAGGAGACAAGACAAAAGACTCAGTAAGGAAGGCGTTGGTGGAATAGTGGTGAGCATAGCTGCCTTCCAAGACTCAGTAAGGGCAGCTGGTTAAATTCTTTTCCTGTTAGAATGCATGGATCAGTATCTAGAGTGGTTTGTTTCTTTGCTTGCTTTTGTGTGTGTGTGTTTAATATATTTTTATTGGTTTCAGAGAGGAAGGGAGAGGGAGAGATAGAAACATCAATGAAGAGAATCATTGATTGGCTGCCTCCTGCATGCCCGCTACTGGGGATTGAGCCCACAACCCCGGCATGTGCCCTGACAGAAAATCAAACTGTGATCTCCTGGTTCATAGGTTGACGCCCAACCACTGAACCACATCAGCTGGGCCAGAATGATTTTTTTAGGAAAAAAATTTACAGACCCTCTTCTCTAGCCCATGTTGAATAGCAAATTATGACATTCAACTGACTGAGCTACGTATTACTTTATGATGGCAGCTCTGACTTTTCAAAGTTGTAAGTTATTCAGTTAAAACAAAAACATTGAAGCTG